GTACACACACACACACACACACACACACACACACACACACACTGACGCACTCACACACACGTCGCGATTTTATCGTTTATCGTGCCACCTCCTGTTTATGTTTTCTACCTATTTCGAGTTGTCTACGTCACCGGCTGTTTATCAGCCCCTGCCAAACAATGTCGTTTGCCTCAGTGAAATCAATCAGACGGCGTCTTTGAATCAAGATTTGCTCAGTGGACAACTTTTTCTCGTAAACAGATACACAGTATAGCTTGTGATTCACTCTACGGTAAAAATAACAATGATAGGTCATAGGTCAAAAGCTTTTACCGTTGCCTTTCGTAACGAAGACACACGCGGTTCTACATGCATGCAATATCTCTCTCTCTCTTGTTTGAGGTGATAGTTTTTACGCGCTTACACATATTACTCTCTCTATCTCTCTTTTCTCTCTCTCTCTTTCTCTCTCTCTCTCTCTCTCTCTCTCTCTCTCTCTTACGAGGCAACCCACCGCCTCATTCACTCGAAAATATCTGGACTTCTTTTCAAGACAGTAGGGTACATTTCTTGATCAAAAGCAAGACAAATAATCAAGCTTTAAGATGATACCAATAACTCCATACCAAGTATGCCCAAAAATTGAGGAGCACCTGATTTTACCACGTATTAAGTTTCAACACAGGTGCCGGTCCAAGGACACCTGAATTGACATTTTTTTCAAAAAAGTTTTATACAACTTTCTCTCAGTGGGAATTAAATGGCAAAAGAGATAAAGGTAGACTACAACCGACTCAGTAAAATATAGAACTTGAACATATATATATAAGTGACGGGAACAGACCCGGACAATCATAAGACGGGTTTTAAGAAAGAGCATACGAGAAGACAAAATGAGCTGCAAACAAAGGCCGTTGATGTCTGCTTCAAACTAAGAGCTTGAAGCAGAAAAAGTGTGGTTGGTTGGCGGGTGCTCTGGTGTGGTTCGCTTCTTCTTTCCTATTCAAACATCTGTCGTCTTTATCTCCTCTTCTTCTTTTTTGTGTTTGTTACTCTCTTGTAACACCTCTAATCTTCGGCACGTATATGACATATTGTGTTGCTAGTGCCGAGTGGCGTATGTAAAACACTTACTAAAACTTAAAAGAAAAAAAGCAGAAAAGTGGTACATGTTTTTAACTTATTATGGTGACGCCGATGAAAAATAAATAAATAAATAAATAGATATATAAATAAATAAATATTTTTCAAAATATTTTTAGTAGTGTGATTCCTATATTATAAGTAATTCTCTCGCCCTCGTTTGCTCAAAAGGAGCGCTGCTGTACAGTGTACCGTATGGGACGGTTTTGAGCAGCGAGCATAAACATACCCTTAAACCAAGGACCTAACTGTATAGCCTACTTGCCATAAACATACCTTGTGTAGAGACATACAGTGTATGTCGTGTTTGTGCAAGCTGGTGCTTTAGCATCCCTCTCTCTCTCTCTCTCTCTCTCTCTCTCTCTCTCTCTCTGTCTGTCACTCTCCTTCTCTTCCTCGTTCTCTGTCTTTTTCTTTCTGTTTCTCTCTCTTTTTCGAAACGCCGAACTAGCAATCTCACGATTACGAGACAGGATGCCGACGCCGTCTTGTTTCTCCTGTCGTCATAGAGTATCTGGCGGCAACAAGGAAGTTGTAAGTGTAAGGGTCTTGGGCGGCAGTCAACTATCAGCTGTTGCGACGAGTGCAGGACATCCCATGAGTCGCCCAATTTTGCAGCAAAGAGGGCGTGATCTACGCCAAGAATATCAAAGGCTGAAAGACACTGATGTAAGGGTCAATCAGTCAACAAACGTTAACGACTTCATCTTTCACCGAAAAGAGCAAATCGTTTTGGTAAAAGTTTTAAGGTATTTGAAGCTGCATTATAAGGTCATACGAGCGCGGAAAACAAGTTAGTTGTTTTCATGTTAATTCATAGTACATCTTGGTTTTATTTTTCAAATCAGATTGCTGAAGTATTTTAAGATTTATAGTAATAAATCTGTTTTAAAAGTATTAATTCGCATTTTAAAACAACACTATTAACATTTTTCGATGATTATCGACGAACGCTTAGTAGCGGCCTATTTTTCATTTGCATAGCAGTACTGGTACTCCGATCATTTATTTATTCACATAATATGTAATATACATCAGCAGATTTTTCCGTG